CAAACCTGAGAGGGCTGCATGTGGTCCAAAAACAGCAGTCTGACCTGCCTGCTTTAATCAGTTCCCAACCGCGCTATAGCCAAAGGACGGCTACAACAAGGTTTTCTGGTTCTGGAACGACGTCCCCAGAGGCGCTCACCTGGCGCTGCTATGATCTGGCTATGATCAGTGCCCAGCAGTGCCACCCACATGTGCCACCCACCTGTACCCAGCAGTGCCACCCATCTGTGCCTAGCAGTGCCACCCACCTGTGCCCAGCAGTGCCACCCATCAGTGCTGCCCAGCAGTGCCACCCATCAGTGCTGCCCAGCAGTGCCACCCATCAGTGCTGCCTATCAGTGCAGCATCATTAGTGCCAGCTCATCAGTGTCGCCTATCAATGCCGCCTATCAATGCCTCCTATCAGTGCCCATCAGTGCTGCCTATCCGTGCCACCTCATCAGTGCCCATCAGTGCTGCCTATCAGTGCAGCCTCATCAACACACATCAGCTAAGGAGAAAAATTACCTGTTTGCAAAATTTTATAGTAAAAACACAGAAAAACTTTTTTTTTTTTTAATTTTTTGCTCTTTTTTTGTTTATAGAGCAAAAAATAAAAACACCCAGTGGCGAATAACTCCATGACCCGGCCCTTTAAGGATTCCAGAAGCCGGAAGGCGGGGCGGGGTTTTAGGGAATGTGACCATCGTGATTCGCTGTCACGGCGGTCACATGATCGGGAAAGGTCTCGATCTCATGAGGAGATTGGGACCTCTCTGTGAGTACCAAACGTGTGTGCTGGGAGCAAGCAGGGCATGCGCTCTAAGCACATATGTTTTTTTTTAATAGAACTCAAATGTACGGCCACTCATCGTCTAGGCCCAGATGCCAGGAGGCCGCACATTTGCATTCGGCCAGTGCCAAGAGGTTAAATACCACCAAAAGAAAGCTCTATTTGTGTGAAAAAAATTATAAAAAATGTCATATGGGTACAGTGCCATTGAAAGTGCGACAGCGCTGAAAGCTGAAAATTGGCCTTGGCAGGAAGGGGGTATAAATGTCCAGTAGGCAAGTGGTTTTTTAAACAAAATTTTGGCAGGCTTCGGTACTCTTTGGGACAGATGTGTCAAACTCAATTTCATTGCGGGCCGCATCAATATTATGGCTGTCATCAAAGGGTCAGTTGCACCTGTAAGAATATATAAATGTATCTACTCTTTATCTTTTTAAATAATTGCCTCTTCATTTGATTATTGCTGGTTTTAGTAATAGCTTAAGAATTAAGCTGTGAAGGGCGGTGCAGACCGGCACAGAGCTCACTCCCATTCCTGTAGCAGATGATGCAGACAGACATGGTTCTTTTGAGCAATCTCCAGTAATGTTTCTTGGGGATTATACCAACGTTGTGTGCGCCTCTCCTTTTCAACTGGCATAGAATTGTATTATTCTCATAATAATTATAGGCAGATGTCAAGAGCCCCTCCACCATCAGAAATCAAGAGCCCCCCACCCACCATTACATACAGTACACCCCCTTTACCTGATGCTGCTGCAGGCAGAAGCTTGGCAGAGCTGGGAAGCAGAATGTGCAGGGTCTGGAGGAGAACCAGAGGAGATCTGGAGTCAGCTTCTGGTGTCTACTGAATGCTGAGACCTGGGAAGCACAGAGAGGTGCAGGATCTATAAGGTCCTCTTGTCTGCTGCCAACTTCTGAGACAGGGTCAAAGACAAGCCTCTCTGCGTCTGCGTAGAGAAGTTCTGTCCTCCTCTCTGCTGCCGACTGCTGAGACAAGGGGGGTGCCTCTGCTGCAGAAAAAGTGTAAGGGTCACGTGAGATAACCTGGTGGGCCAGATTTTGCTCGCGGGCCTTGTGTTTGACAAATGTGCTTTAGGAAACCTGAAAATTGGTAAAGCCTGCTATCTGCCAAACGACTGTTTAACCACCTGCCAAGTGCCTACAGTTCTTTTACTGAGGGTGGGTGGCATGTACTGGTACGTCACTTTGGCTGTACTGACAAAGGGGGCATGCTGCACCCCCCTCCACAACTGTTGTGTCACCTGGACACAGCAGAATGTGGATCCCAGTAATCACGACCCAGTGACCACGTGATTGCTATGGCGTTTATATGATCACAATGTCAACAAAGCTGTTATGATCAATCGGATTCATAACAGCTTTGCTTCCCTTCCTAGTGAGCTGTTATTGGCCCAAAGCTCTCACAAGGTACATGGGCTAATCACAGCACCCTGTACCATGTGATTATGCTGTAGCCAATCACAGATCACTAGTATTATGAACTGTCATGAACTTAACCCATTCATCACAGTTCAAAGCAAGTTTTGGCATCGCAGGAGCAATAATCTTTATTGCCTCTGCAAAAACAGTATTTAAAAAAATAATAATAATAAAAGTTAAAAAAATAATAAAAATACTGTATTGAGAATGAAAAACATTTTTTTTAAATGCTTTTACTGCTTGCCAACCACCTGCTCACAATGTGCGGGAGTGCAGCAGGTGTGAATGCGCCTGCACAAATCCCCCCCCCCCCCCCGCTGCCCCCTTGTCAGTCCAGGGAGAAGAGAGAGAACACTGCACTGTGAGTAAAAGCACTACTCTTTATACACACACAGTAGATTATAAAATTTAACCCTTTAATTGCCCCTATTAACCCTTTGATCACCCCGTCACCCAGCCAGTGCCATTAGTACAATGTCAGTATATAGAATTTTTCACTGATCACTGTATTACTGCCTCTAGTGACATCAGATAATGTGAGGGTCTGTAAGCTCTCCTCCCAGCAAAATGCAAATGTTTATGTGTTCTTTTATCATTCTTAGTATTATTTTTTCTTAACCTTACCTTCATGTGTTTGTTTTTTTGTTTGTTTTTCCCTATCCAAAGGGTTTGTAGTAAGCATATTTGATATATGATTTCATTTATTATTGTGTAAAAAAAGATCTTTGTTTTTAATATTTTTTTTTTTAGATTTAGAGTTGTCTCGCTATAGAGGGGCTAATATCTGTGGGTGGCTATTAAGGATGACACACTTCCCCAGCCCCTCCTATATATATTTTGATTGCTGGTTCCCAATCACATGATCTGAGGAAAGAACAAGTTCCTGAAACATGTTATCATGATGACCGACTTCTCTCCTTTGGTTTGAGTGCTCCCCTAGGCTTCCAGTTTGCCCTCACTAACCTTTGTTTTGGTGGACTCTCGCCAGGTGTATGACATTACAAATGGATCTGTGACATGTGACTTCTGGTGGATGTGCCATAATAGTGATTCTGACGGCTGCCATTAACACACCCTTCCCACTGTCCTGAGGTTCCTGTACTGAGCAACCTACTGTTTAGATCCAGAATCATGTGTCATCCTCCAGCTTCTGGGAATGTGTTTCTCCTCTCCACTGGCTTGGTGATGTATCAGTCTGGGCACTCCTACATGCTATGCTTTTTAACCCAATATTAAAGTGGATTTTGATTTTAACTTTTCCTGTGCTTGTGACATTATTGGCTTCCACAGGGTTGGGAGCACTCCTTTATTTGTTGTTTTGAGCTCATGTCTCATTGCTGGTTGGATGAGTTGCTGGAGCTGCCCATATTAATATTATCTACATATCCCCTGGAACCTCATTGTGCATGGTATTTGCACCTTTTTTTTAACCCATTCATGACAGTTATCCCCATATATTCAGCAAAGAGATGGCCCAATCCAGCAAAAAGACATCCCCATATATTCAGCAAAGAGACAGCCCAATTTGGCAAAGAGATATCCCCATATAGCAAAGAGACATCCCAATCCAGCAGAGAGAAATCCCAATCCAGCAAAGAGATATTCCCATCCAGCAGAGAGACATTCCCATCCAGCAGAGAGACGTAACAATCCAGCAAATAGACATCCTAATCCAGCAAACAGACATCAACATCCATCAAAGAGACAGCCCTATCCAGCAAAGAGACAGCCCCATATAGCAAAGAGACAGCCCTATTCAGAAAAGAGACATCCAAATGCAGCAAAGAGACATCTCCATGTAGCAAACAGACAGCCCCATCCAGTAAAGAGACATCCCAATCTAGCAAAGAGACATCTCCATATAGCAAAGAGACAGCCCAATCCAGCAAAGAGACAGTCCCATATAGCAAAGAGACAGCCCCATATAGAAAAGAGATGGCCCAATCCAGCAAAGAGACAGTCCCATCCAGCAAAAAGACATTCCAAACTGGAAAAGAGACATCTCCATATAGTAAAGAGACAGACCAATCCAGCAAATAGACAGCCCCATCCAGGGCTTTAAGGTATTTGCTAAGGGGCATGTTATTTTTCAGATCTCATTTGATGTCACACATTTTTGAAAATGAAGAAACAAATCGAAAATGTATTTTTACTTTTCTTTTTTTTTCTATTTCAAAACCTTGTGACAAACAATTATGTTTGAAAAATACTCACCTTGGCTCTTATCAAATTCCTTGGGGGTGTGTACTTTCCATAAAGGGAATCCTGTACTATCCTTGCATTTTAGGGCCTTCAAAACAGTGGTAGATAGCAAGGAAGTGACATGAGGAAATATTACCTGGAAAACCTGACGGTCGTCTTTGCATTTTGGGGGCCTTTTGGTGGTTAGGCTGTCAAAAAGTCTCTCACATGTGGTATATCCATACTCAATAGAAGTAGCAGAATGTGGTTTGGGGTGTTATTCCTCATATGCCCATGGCTGGGGTGAGCAATATATCATTTAAGTAACAAGTTCATTTTTTTGTCATTTTCTAAAAATTTGTGGCAAAAAATAAAATCTTCCATGGTCTCAACATACCTCTCAGCGAATTCCCTGGAGTATCTACTTTCCAAAAAGGGGCCATTTGGGGTTTTTTGTACTGCCCTGGCATTTCAGCACCTCAAGAAATATGATAGCCCATCAGAAAGCAAAAGCTGTGTAAATTCAAATATATACAGCATAGTTTGTAGACGCTATAACTTTCACACAGACCAATTAATGTATTGTGATTTCTTTTTACCAAAGGCATGTAGCCAGGGGCGGACTGACAACTCATGGGGCCCCCGGGCAATAGGGGATCATGGGACCCCTGTGTCTTGCCCAAACTCAAAAAAGCCTATGAAAAAGGTACCAGGGGCATCTCATGGGGCCCCCTACTGACCCGGGCCCTCGGGCAGTGCCCGAGTTTCCAAATGGTCAGTCTGCCCCTGCATGTAGCAGAATACATGTTGGCCCACATTTCTGATTACATTTGATTTTATTAGATATTTTTTATAACGGAAAGTAGAAAATATTGGTGGGTGGGGGGGTTAAAAATTGTCAGCCTATTCTCATTTATATTTGAAAGAATAAAAAACCCAGTGGTGATCAAATACCACCAAAAGAAATCTCTATTTGTGTGAAAAAAAGGATATTTGTATGGGTACAGCGTTGCATGGCCACGTAATTACCAGTTGAAATAGCGCAGTGCCTAATAGCAATAAGTGGCCTGGTCTCGAAGGGGGTAAAACCTTCCGGATCTGAGAAACCAATGCCAAAGAAAAATTTTAATTTCTATGGAGTTTTTGCAAAATCTCTAGAACAAAATGTGCATTAATGCAAACCTTTAAAGTAGTTTCCCCTGTGGCCACATGTATAGGTGTCTGGTGAGGTGTGCAGGTGAAACAGCAGGGCACTGAAATCTCTATGACCTCTGCCTTGATTTGTTCTAACTGCCTACCTTAGAGGTCATAATGAACATTCCTCTGCATCCTCCTGAGTACTTCAGGACACTAAAATCTCTACATAAGAGGCAATGCATGATGAAGTATAGTTTGATGTAGGTCAATCCAGTTCCTGTCCTGCATTTTCCCTATTATGATTTTACTTCTCATATTTTTCAATCATTCCCACTAGCAGGAAGCAAGGGAGATGAAAAGGGCCTATGCTTTTATTTACAAGGATGCTTTCAACTAGCGTAGTTCACTCTACTCTATACTCTGAAATAGACACACATCAGCTAAAGTGTGCTTTAAAGCTCAATTCATTTCCATGCACCACAATACATGGTACTGTGTTGCTGTGCATTGTGGTACGCTGGTAAGGTGCATTTGACACCATCGCACTTAAGCCACTAAAATGTGTTGTGGTAACACACATTAAGCACAACAGTAACAGTATAAACATAGCCATATGCTATGTCCACATGGATGCTAGATGCAGATGTCCTTCTGTCTGTGTGGCTAATAACATAACAGCATCTCATCAACTATTTGGCAGGGATGATCACTTCACTTTCTGATATACGGAACATGTTGCACATACCCCCCACTTGACTATTGGTATACCAAACGCTATGTTAGCACACAGGAAATAGACCACAAGCTACTTGATGGTAGACAAAGTGAATGTATTGTTGCAAGGAAGGTAAATGCAATGCACAAAGCAGTAAGAATGTAACTGAATATGACTGAATGTGTTAAACTAAATATCATAAATATTAGACTATGATATGGCAATTTAAATTCTCAGTCAATTAAAGCTAACTCTCTGCAATAACCAAAAAAAAAAGTGTCTCAGAGTGTACACTAAGATCATACCCCTGGATGTGGTTATGTGTAAGTGTTCCTGAACAGGGTACCCCTATAAGGTGTTTTTATAATATCCGGTGCTCAATTTTTGATCTTAAGCCATCTAAGTTTGGGCCCTATCTGTATGGTGGTGCAGTTGTTGCTGTCTCTTTAAAACTGAATGCAGTGAATGACTGTTGGGCTTCTAAAGACTGGGCAGTCTCTGCTTGCTAACTGTTGACAATGATTGGATTAGCAGAGTTGGTTTCTGCTCACCTATCCTGGCACAGATAATTTTTTCCTGAACTCTTGGCAGTCAACTGTCCTGAGCAATTCGGACCCTGGTACTTCAGTCTTCACAAGGTTTAGTCCCAGTGACAGACTTTCACTGGTACTTCCTTGATGCAGGGGCACACAAAAGGTCCCTCCGCCTTTGGTCCCAGCACAGCACAAGACCTTTCAGTGGCTCAGTCCTCTGACTCCCTGGCGTGGGCACTGACAGGTTTGCACTCTCAGCCTCCCCATCCCTAGAAAAAAAAACAGATTTTCTTCTCAGAGCCTGGGAAATTCACACTGCTCTCCTACTCTGTGTGCAGTGAATCTTGGCCCTTGTAGTTTTCTAGACCTACTATCCTGCATTGTACAGCCATCTTTACAATCTACATTTCCCAGTGTCCGTAGCAGCTGCATCCTCATCTCCCTGCTACTGATTGGCTCAAACTACTGCTGCTAAGAACAAGTGGGAGCATAAGTAAGGGGAATTTCACACATAGCCCTCTGTGACAGCCATCAGCGCGGCGAGGGCTGTAAAGGGGGTGGGGGGAGAATGAGAGCGGCACAGGAGCTCTCTCTTCCAGCTGCTACAAACAGATAACCTGGATATACCTGCTAACATTTCATCATGAGATGGTCTCCCATGTGTCTTGTTCCTGCTGCAATTAGGCTTCACTATGTGCTGGAGATAAGCAGTTTCTGATAATACCACATATTAAATGTAACGTGTTTGTGATTAACTTGCGTTTCACTGTAATGCTCTAGAGGCTGAACTGGGAAGCCCATCGTGCTTTACCTGATATAAATCATTATTGAAGTACTAGTTAGGTTGTTTTATTGGTTGACTGAGACATTTGTATTTAAAAAAGAAAATGTTTTTAAGACTACAAGATATTACTAGAAATCTTTTTCTTTGATTAAGAAATTTTCAGCATAACTGACCTTTCCATGGCTATTATTTTTTGGGCCAAAGCAAGTTTCACTGGTTGGCATTCTTCAGCAGAGGATAAAGTGGATGCAGCACCTGTGGTATGAAATTTTGCTTTTCTTTATATACAGGGACACCTATCTGATTAATTTATCCTAGTACTGGGACAATGCCCTTTAGCACCAAAGGCAGAAATGCCAAAGTAGATGCCCATTCACCACCAACACCATTTTGTCCAGGACCCAGCATAAACAATTCCCTGGGGGTGTGTTTCCTTTCTACCAATCCCTCTTATATAGTCACTTTAGATGTTCCTTAAAAATTCCAAGATAGGGTCATGGGTCTAGTGGTAGGGTAGCAGAGACTGAAAGTAGCAGAGGCAGCAAGAGACATAGAAAGGATACAACCACCTTGTGCTGTCTTCATACTCAACTTGCAGCTATTGACTTTAAAAGAAATTAGGTTAAAAAATTATTAAAAGCAAGAGGACTTCCTAATTGCGATCACTGCTTAAGATTAGCAGGCCATTTCATTATTAAAAGGGTGGACACTTTGCTTCTAACTCTGATGAGGTGTGAACTACATCAGCAGCATAGATTGCAGATCAAGGACCTTTTGCTGAAACACCCAAGGCAGCTGCTTTGTCTGCCTACCTATTGGCCCATCTCTTTTCTATCCAAAGCAAGAGTAAGTGTACTGGCTGTTGCTAAAGGAATGAGACTTTATTTCCAACTTACCTGAAGGCAGAAAACAAACCCTGCGGTGAATGAGAATAAGACAAAATTATAAGGCTCATGCTAAAAGCTATAAGACTTTCTTGCAAAAATTTAAATCATGCAGTTTGAATATAATTATAAAAAGTAATGTATTTTCTGATTGTTTAGCTACACAATATATGGTGGCCAGAAGGACAATTTAAAACTCTAACAATTTTCATATTATCAGGCTAGTCAATCATATAGAATTACTGTTTTTGTGAAGCTAGGTTCTCGTCGTACCTGTACATTGTCCTAAATTCTCTTCTGCGTACACCAGTTATGTGAATATAACGCCATTATTAATCATTATATTAATGTCATGACAGACTCACATATTTTGCAAGAACTGAGGGAGTAGAAGCGAGAAGAATGTCAGGTACTTATTAGAGTCCATTTATCAAAGTCTCCCTACTCCTGAAGAATAATTTAAAAATACAGTAAGTTCTTTTTATTCCTTTCAGGACTGGTTGTATTATACCATTAGTGTAATGGATTATTCTCTCAATAATTACATGTAATGTTGCATCATACACGTTTGTGAGGAATTAAAGGTATTATCAGAACTATCAGATCCCAGACAGATTTGAATGCCATACCTGATGATCAGGAGTGGATCAGTCTGTACAGGGTTCTATAGGGGGATACAATAAGTACTTCTGACCAAAGAAAGCACATTTTATCACACAAGAGATTTTCCCAACTTTATAAAAAATATCTATTTTAGGAAGGAACTTACAGTATTTTTAAATATTATAATAAAAAAGGAGAAGGAAATGTCAACTGCCTGGGCAATGCTACTCCACATGTGCAAAAGTCCTGAAGGTCCTTTGGTGAGACATTTACCCTTCCTAAAACCATTTTTGCTGTCCAAACTTACACTGTATTGGCTTTGGAATTGCTTACCTGCAGCTATAGAAGCCCATGTTATTGCTATCAACAATTAGATAGTAAGCTTGTAGAAACAATCCTTACCCTTTTTGGTACTGCTATATTTTATATTCTAATCTTTGGAAGATATTATTTATTGTATCACCTCTATATCCCTATATGTGTTATATGGAGATGTGCACGATGAAAACATTTGTTTCATTTCAGATTCATTTGTTAAGTAAATCATTTCATTTCATCATATTCATTATGTTAGGATGATTCGTTTTCAGAATTTGTTTACCCTGATTCATTAAGTTTATATGTTCTTCCAAATTGATTCGTATTTTCAGAAATTATTTCGGAAGATGAGCAATATTCTGTTTAACATGTTAATTTGTCATTTGTCACAGATTACTTTTGCACTGTGAGTCATTCCTGCTAGTCCAACCCACAAAGAGAAATGGAATTAGCTGATTGGACGATATTGACTGAAGTAATGAAAGAAACAAATGGAACAAAATTGATTTCAGATAGATTCATTATGTTGTGATTCGGAGATTCTGATGGATCCACCTCCATCCAACCTTAAAACAATATAATAATAATAATACATTTTATTTATAGGCACCTTTCAAAACACCCATGGTCACCTTACAAAGATAGCAACAGAGCAACAAACAAAGTAAATATATAAAATAAATTTACACTACATAAAACATTAATTACAAAACAAATCAATTAAGTCAGACAGAGTACGCTAGTTTGAAAAGATGAGTTTTGAGATTTGAAGGTGGGTAGGAAGTCAATATTGCGGAAGCCAGGTGGCAAGGTGGTCCAAC